ACAAGTAATAGCAACAATAATCAATATCATCATGGCAGGCGGCGGTGGAGGCAGGACTGGCCTGGGGCCGGTCCAAAGGCCTCAGAGGGCCGCATACGGCCCCCCCCCCCAGGCCTTAGGTTGCCTACTCCTGCCTTAGAGTCACCTAAGTCAGAAATGACTTGAAGGCACATAACAACATTTCTGGAGGTTCTTGCTTCGGCAGATAAATAGATCGGCTGCTTCAGGGCCTTATGCAAAGGATTTTCTTTAAAACTACATTTGAAACAAAAGAAATGAAAATAGTTTGCTTTTTGAGAGCAAGCTTAGATGACCTTAGGCACATAACATGCTCTAACCTCAAGAGAAAGCAATGGCAAACTTCCTCTGAACAAATCTTGCCAAGAAAAACGCATGATAGGTTGGTCTTAGGGTCACCATAAGTCGGAAGGGCACTTGAAGGCACACAATAACAACAGTTAGATCTAAGACCATCTCAGTTAGCTTAAACAGTATTCTTTTGTCTTCTGTGTAATTTCTAGAAACCACTCTGCTTCCCTACAAAATGCAAAGCCTTGTACTCTGCATTTTATACTTTGCAGGGTTATGTAAAGTTCAACCTTTAATTATATTATTCTTACAATTGCCTCTGAGAACACAACCCATGTGGCTCCCTTAACCACAGGAAACCATTTTAGTGATGCAACTCCCCACGTTGTTTGGACAGTCTAACCACACCTACAATCCTTTTTTTCCCCCTGGCACTTCTGTTGTTGTGGTTAAACTACCCGAACTCATGAGGAGCACTCTTGGCAACAGTTGGGCTGCTAGTTCAAGGGATATCATGTTTCTCAGCCTGGGTGAGAGCTAAAGAGCTGTCAAGTTGAGTTCACATAGTAGCAAAACTGCATTTCTTCTGCACACGTATGTCATTCCTGTCCTTGTTCTTTGGGTTTTGTTCTTACACGCTCAGAGGTATCGTGCATATCTTGATCTGTGCAGTGATAGAATTTCTAACTGCATGAGTTTGGCTGTAAGTAGAGGATTGGTTTTCTGGATGTGCTAGCACAGGGGTAGGCAACCTTTTTGAGCCCGGGGCCGGGTTGCTGTCCCTCAGACAATGGGGGGCTGAAGCACCAAAATAAATAAATAAATAAATATTTTAAAAATTATAAATTAATTTTTTTTAAAAAAATATATGCATGCACACTCTCTCAGCCCCAGAAAAGCCATCGCAAAACCCCTGTGGAGATTTTGCCAAAAAAAAGTCCAAGAACAAGTAATAACAACAATAATCAATATTATTATGGTGGGCGGCGGCAGTGGCAGGACCGGTCTGGAGCTGGTTCAAAGGCCTTGGGGGGCCGCATCCGGCCCCTGGGCCTTAGGTTGCCTACCCCTGTGCTAGCACATGAAAGCTCTCTGCATGTAGAAAGAGGGAGAAGGTTTAGCACACTCCCCACTCATGTGCACTTACTAAATCTAGGGAGTTCCCTTTGATGGAGGTGTTTACCTGCCTGTCAAGTGAAGCAGTACAATTTTGTAGTTTTTTGTGGGGTTTTGGGGCTGTGTGGCCATGTTCTAGAAGAGTTTCTTTCTGATGTTTCGCCAGCATCTGTGGCTGTCATCTTCAGAGAAATTAAATTAAAGGTACAATTAAATTAAAGGTACAGTTTTGATTTCTTCTGCCTGCCTGAGCCTATCACTTAATTATACATAAATTGTAGAAGCTGCCAGATTTCTTGAAGTGAACTAAAAGAAGCTAGAACAATATCAAATAAAAACATTAATATTTTTGCAGTTGCAGAGAGATTACTTGTCCTTAAAAAAAAAAGGAATATGATATAAAATATGGTGATCCTAAGATCAGATGGCTAAGGAGGAACCATAAAATTTCCTTGCCTAGTTCCTAAATCAG